TGGTGATTTGTTGTAGTGTTAACCACATTAAATAATTATAGTTTCGAAACAAGATAAATAAAACTTTAATATAAAAATCTACTTCAATTTTAAATATATGACAACTTAATGGCAGTGTTATTTTGCTTTTTGTTTTTTTAATTGGGTGAATTTTACTAAAACATAGAATTTTGCTAAATAATAACAGCCATTACCATGCAATTGTATTACACCTAACAGTTGATTCTTTGCCTCACTGTTTGAAATTTTAAATACACAGGCTTCAAGTGGTCCCATAGAATTGAAGGAATTCAGGTTCTAACCCGCCAGTTTCACAATCACTGAGCGATAATGCCTGTTTCTAGACTACTGTTTAAATATAGTAGTGGGGCATGGGGGCCGGTGGCCTTCACCATTCCAAGCTGTTACCAACTGACCTGCAGAGTCTGAGCAGGCCAGTCGTATTGGGGGCTGGCTGTACCTGGGAGATCTCCCTATTAATTTCCTTGTAGAATATAATGCTTATTAATGGATAAGTAATTAAAATATACTGATTTGATGCATACAAATATTAAAATGCACATTAGACCAACAAAAGATTCCAGAAAGGAGTGTTTTATCGCTGACATGATTTGGATCCACTTTCTAGAGGTTAGACCGATATGTTTTATTATTCTCTCCAGCCACGTCACCCCTCATTCCCTGCGGGGGCTGCTTCTACCACCTCTTCTGCGTGTGACCCCGCATAACACTCCTCTCCCGGATATTTAACCCTTCATCTGTGCAGACTGAAAGCACTTTGAGATCTGAACCAAACAAAACGAAGCTCATTGTCATTGAATGCAGGCTGACACACAGAGATCCTACAGGCCAGGGCTGAACTGCCCCTGTGAGTTTCTGAGACTGTAACTCTATCCGGGAGTAGAAAGCCTGGTCTTTCTTTTCGTTCTTTCTTTTTTTTTCATGCCATAAAGTTTTATTGGGAGTCTGGGAAAGAAACAAGGTTAAGGGTCCCACCTTTCCATACCCCAGCCCAGAAGTCCCATCTGCAGGAGGGCAGGAAGCCCAAGACTCAGAAGACCCTGTCGATTCTTGTAGTAAGTGAGCATTCTGGCCCACAAGCAGGCTGCCAGGCTGTGGTAGGTGCGATCTCCTGCCCTAGCCGTGACTTGATGCCCACAAGCAGCTGGTATTCCTGATTCTGCTGCTCCTGGTCCGTGTGCACATCCTCCTGGCAGAAACGGAGGCCCGCTTTGGGGCCCAACTGGTACAGATCCAGATGATGAACAGACGGCAGTATTGAGACCCAGCTGGACAGCTTTCATGCTCAGCTGCAACTGTAGCTCAATCTCCAGACTGTAGTCTCCACCACAGGTCAGATACCTCCATCTCGCTGACCAGGAGCTGCTCTTTGTGGCCAGTAACCTCCCAGTTCAGGTTCTAAGTCTGGCTGATGAACCAGGCTTCAGCATACTTCCGGTTCTTCTCAGTCATGATCTCATACTGGCTTTTCATGTCGTTCTGAATCTTGGCCAGGTCGATGCCGGGTGCAGAATCCACCTCCACATTGACCAGAGCCTTCAAAACACTGATTTCCAACCTGTGATTCTTATTCAGGGAAGCCAGTCCTTCCCTTCAGCCCTTCCATCTCTGCATCCCCAGGTCCACGCTAAGCAGGGTCAGCTCATCCAGCTCCGTGTGCAGCCCAGGGATATCTGCCTCCAATCTTGTACACAGGGTCTGCTCCGTCTCTAACTTAGTCTGAAAGTCATCTGCAGGCAGGTGGGCATTGTCAATCTGCAGCACAATCTTGACATTCTCGATGGGGGCACCAAGCATCTTGCTCTGCAGCTCCTCAATGGTCTTGTAGTAGTGACTGTAGTCCCAGGTGGGGCCCCCGTGGGCCCTGCTTCGGGGACCAGTCGCAGATCTTCACCTCCAGTTTGGTGTTGGCCATCTCCAGGGCACGCACCTGGTCCAGGTAGGTGGCCAGGCCTTCCTTGAGGATCTGCGTGGTGAGCTAGTTGCATGAAAGGAAGCCAGAAAGCCGTCAGATGTAGCCAGGACGCCCGCATAGCTGCTGGGAATGAGGATATGAAGAACACATCATGGCCATCAGAGCCCTCCATGGACTCACAGAAGGCATCGCCAACTCCAAAGCACACGGAGACCCGCCCCCCATGCACCCCCCCCCCAAGGAAGGACAAGGCGGGCGAGTGGCGATAGGATAAGCCTGGAGAGATCGATGGAGACGGAGAAGGCAGGAGACGGTGGCCCTTGGAGCTGCAGTCTGCAGGAAGAGAAAAACCTGGTCTTTCTCGCACGGAGGAGCTGGTGGTTTGGAACCGCTGTCCACCTTGCAGGTAGCAGCCCCATCATGTAGCCCCTACCCTACCAGGGCACCTTCCTTGAGGTCAGAGGACCCATCTGATCTGCACTCTCACCAATGTGCTCTGGGCACCCAGCCGAACTTGGCAAACTGGCAACCAACTGGTTTCCATGGAGTCAATTTCGGCTCCTGACAACCCCGCATGTGTGTCAGAAGAAATTGGCTGGTAGGCTTGTCAGTGACCAGGTTTTTTGTCTTTCCGTAGATGGCTGGGTCTTTCTTCAGCAGTGTCCCTAGTGGCCTCACATCTCCAGCCTTTTTGCTAGCAGCACGCGTGTTCACTGTTCACAAGACCCAAGTGTTCCTGGCACAAACACATACTGCGGATAACAACCGATCGCTGCTGAAAGGAAGGATCCCACCTAGGGGGAAGAGAAGGGTGGCCGCGCAAGACGCCATGCCCATCCCCACCAGCCACCCACCCCAGCTGTGCTTCCAGGTAGCTCCTGTCACACCCCTGTTACAAACTGGCATTGTCCTCTAAGACATCGATCATGAAGAGAGAGCTTACAGACTAGGTGCGTTCATTTATCCATCTAATGGGTGTTACTCTTCACAGGGGTTGCCCGATTCATAACGGTAGCAAAATTACAGTATGACGTAGCAATAATAATTATATGAAAAAAAAGAAAAGAAAAGAATGTTATGGTTGGGGGGCTGGTCACAACAACAAGAGGAACTGTGTTAAAGGGTGGCGGCACTGGGAAGGTAGAGAACCACTGCTCTAACACATTTGGAGAGGACGATTGTGGGTTGATGCTATGCCCTGGTGGAATGAATGATGGCATAGAAGCGTATAGGGGACTGGTGTACATTTGAGAGGTGGCTAGTGCTGAGACATGCTGTAAGCATAAGATATACACCAGATTTCAAGGCTTGATGTTTTTTTAAATGGAAAATATGACATGGAAATTTTTTCTTTTGATTTTTGTTTATGCCAAAAGTACCTATTGGCTATTTTGGGGTTAAATAAAACACACTCAAGTTCATGTCAACCATTCCTCCTTTCTCATTTAAACACGACTATTAGAAAAGATAAAACTTCCCTCTTGGCCTGTTATATTTCTATGAGCACTCATGGAAGACGAAGCTTTTTCTCACCTTGGCCCACTAAAGAGTCCATCTTTTGTGGGTCCCCAACTTTTCAAAACCAGCCCTCCCACCGCCCTTTTACTGTGCGTTAGGTGAAGGCCGACAGAGCAGGTTGTCAGGTCTGCTTTCCACAGTTCACACACATTGTGTTTCAGCTCATTCCGTGCCGCCTCTCCCTGTCCCATCATGGATCCCATGCCCTCCCTGGGTCTCTGTTTCCATTTTGCCTCCTTTCCTAACTCTCTGTACTTTGTCCTTGGGGAAGTGTTGCCCTTTGCGCTCCCTTAAATGGTCACCAGTTCCCCCCAAATTTTAAAATGTGTTCTCGTTTTGGGAGGTGGTGGTGAGTAGAGGTTATATTTTGAAACCCTGGTGGGCTGCTGGATTGCCAATCCATGAGAATTTTGAGTTTGCGTCTAAGAGAAACATGAAGCAGAGAAGAGGCCAGAACTGGGGAGAAGACCGCAAGAGGAGAGTGAGTTTAGTGGCACTGGCACACCGGGGATGGGGAAGAATCAGAAGGCATTAAGGTGACAAGGTAGGGAAGGAGATTTTGAGGCATGAGGGGCGTTAACCTCTTGACTCACCCACTGCGCCAGGAGGCTCTCTAACCATAGCTACGGGTGTGTCTCCATATCTGTGGTGTAGAGCTGTCCTCCAACACCCTGATGATGAAATTCTGTAACGTGGTATCTGGGATGGGATTCTGAAACAGAAAAAACAAGCTTTTTAAAAATACATAAATAAATAAATTTTTTTAAGGACATCTGAAATATGAACTTTAGTTAATGTATTACTATTGGCTCATTAATTGAAAGAATATGCTATATTAACAAAATATTAATAATAGGGAAAATGGGCCGAGGGACTTATGAACACAGTACTATCTTCACAATTTTTCTGTAAATCAAAAACTACACCCCCCAAAAAAAATCACTTACTGGCACCGATTTGTTAAAAAGCACACTTTATTTGTGTGTATTTTGGAGTGTCAAAGCTACAATATACCCCGGCCTCAAAAGTAGAATTTATTCCATGGGTTCAGAGAAATGTTCAGCTGTTTTGCAATTTTAATCTGTTCCGAATCCAGAACTTAAATTGGGTCAATATCTATCGGCTACCCATTAATTAGGTTATTGTCTCATGAATTCAGCAGAAATTTTTAAAATTCAAGGTCATTAATTTGTATGTATTTGAGTTACAAGCAAGGGAAGATGCCTCGTCCCTTAATTATTGTAATGCACATGAAAACAATCTATAAGGAAAGCAATCCTCAGAGCAAGTAGATTTAAATGTCAGCTCCACTGCCTAAATTCTTTGCCCAAAATTATATTAGCAGAGAATGGCACATCTTGTTGCGTAATTGAAGCATTTTTGCTCTTCTTACATAAAATACCAGCGAAAGATTGGTCAGGCTGCAACTGACAGAGGCGTTAGTTAGTCCTTTCCAATTTGGAGAATTCCTTTTTTAAAAAACCGAGTCTGTCCCTACCTAGAAGCCCGAGGCAGCGCAAGGTCGCACCCCATTGGTGATGTCCCTGGGCCGAGGGCGGGGCTCCAAGCCGAGGGCCCGCCCACTGGCTGGCCGCCTGACCACCGTGGGCGGGGCGCCTGCAGCCCATTGGCTGGTCGCTGGAGGATGGTGTCATGGACCGCTGAGGCCTGAGCGGACGGTTTCTACGGCAACAGAGGCTTGAAAGAGCCACTCAGATTTCAGCGCTCACCCCCATCTCCCCCTTCCGGAGGGGGCTGGGCGGCTTGGATTTGAGGGCCGGTGTAGTAGGCGTGGGGGCTGGGAGATAAGGGGACCCGGCAGGCTTTGGACCAAACCAATTCAATTCAGCAGTGCAGTTTTTAAACTGGGCTTGAGGAACCGGGCTTGCTTGTTAAGCAAACAAACAAAGCAGTCAAACGGGCAAAAAGAAGAAAGATATGTAGATCCTCTCCTGAGCTCGCCGCTGGTCACACTTTGCACATAGTAGGCACTCAATACACAAGCCTCAATGAAAGAAAGAAAAAGGAAAAAGGGTTGGTGACGTGACAATGTGCCCTTGCTGTTGGGCTGAAAGACCACAGACCGCCGGACAGACGTGTACAGCTGACCTGATGGGATGACCCACCATGGGGGGCCCTGGCGGGTGTGTGCAAACAGCTGATGGTGCCTTATATGTGAAGCCTTGGGTTCAAATTCCCGCTGGCTCTGCCACGGCGCAGCTGCAAGCGTGCTGCAGATCTCCAGACCCCAGTGCCTTTGTTTGGGGGGAATAATACACAGAACCCACTTCATTGAGCTGGTGTCAGAACGGGGTTGAGAGAATGCATGTGACGTTAGCACAATGCCTCAAACAAAACAAAAGGGCAGTCTACAGTAGCTGTTATCATAAATGTAGAGGGCAAGGGTTAAGATTTGAACAGGGGGAGAGAATGGGGAGGTCTTTCGGGGCTGGGGGATAGAGTGGCCAAGTTCCAAAAGAGTGGCCTCTTGCAAGAGTGGGCCAATTTGGAAGTCTTATAGAAAACTAGATGATAGCCAGAAGGCACCAGATAAAAGAGACTAGAATGATGCTACTGTTTATTGAGGGCCTGGCCCTCTGCCTAGCCCTTGACACGGATTCTTTTATTTTCTCACCAGTCTGGGGGAAAGTAGTTACCATTAGACCCATTTTCCTGGTAAGCAATTGAGGCTCAGAGAAATGACCTGGTTCATATGAGATAGGAAGCAACAAAGCCAAATGGGAGCCATTCTGGGGCCCAAAAGGCAAAAGCACAATTGGAAGGCTGCTCACCACAGGTCTCTACTTGGTCAGGAGTTATATACATCATTCTAGCAAGTGTTAAATAAAAAGTGTTCTGTTTGCTTCCTTGACAAATAGACTTTCAGAAGAATGGTGGGGGGGGAGAACCAGGGAAGTAGGGGAAGGAGGAGAAAAAAGAGGAGCTGATACCAAGGGCTCAATAGAAAGTAAATGTCTAGAGAATAATGATGGCAACATATATACAAATATGATTGATACAATTGATATATGGATTGTTACAAGAGCTGTAAGAGCCCCCAATAAAATGATCTTTTAATTAATAATAATAATACAAGAAAAAAACAAAAGAAGAGCCAGGAAAGACAGCCAAGTTAGAATATAGAATTCTAGAACTCTTGGCGTGCTCTGGCAGATTGTGCAGGCCAGAGAACTGCCCTCTACATCCAGATCTTGTCCAGCCACCCCACTTCCCACCAGCACCTGCGCACAAATTCTGTTCACCGTGTCCCCTTCAAGCAGCTACACTCAGGCTTCTAGCTGTGCATCAGTTTGCCCTCAGGTGGATGGATCCTGGGATGAAGCCTACTCAAACTCGGTGACCTTTTGGAAGGTAATTCTGGAGTGCCGCAGAATGTTCTAGGAGGGATGGACACAATTTCTACATAGACAGTTCCTGTAATGCCTGTAGAATCCTCATCTCATGAGAAGAGATGGGAGTTCAGGGTAGGGCTCAGAAGTAGGGGGGTTTGGAGGCAAGCTTCAGAAGGCAGGCAGTCTGAGCCCAGGAACCGAGTGGTCCTCCCCTGGGCCTCACAGTGCCCTCTGAGGCACACAGGCTGGGAGTCCATGATGTCATACCTTCACAGAAAGAGAGAAGGATGGGCCGGTAAACTGAGGCAGAAAATGGCAGAGCCAAATGGGTATTTGTGAAGCTGGGGGCAAAAGTGCAACTGACCTCCCACACCGAAGGAAACCATTATCAAAGGTGAGATTCATTGATGCCTTATAAAAAGGGATGCACACACCCCTCTTCAATACACAGTCGGTGATTTTGCACACCTGGAGTGTCACTCAAGAAGGAAAACTGGACACATGCATCGATCCGACGGCTCAGCCATGTCATTTTTAGATCATTCACACAATAAATACTTATTGGGCTTTCCCGATGTGTTGCTACAAACTGTGAACAAAAAAAGAAAAAACAAACAAACCAAAAAACTGGCATGGCTGTTCCGGCCCTCAGGGGGCTCAAAGAGGCAGAGGCAGAGAGTAATAAAATATGACCTAAATAACCTATCATCATGGCTTCCACAACTGTGGGAAGAAGGGGTGAGGGAGCTGGGGAGAGTGTGAGAGGGTCTCATCGAGGGGCTCAGACCAGGCTCCAGTTAAGAAGGGGCATTAAAGCTCAGGGACGGGATGGTAAAACCACGGCTTGCTGGGGCACGAGAGATCCTACAATACTGAGAAGAACTGCCCCCACAGGGTTTCCAAGCCTGTGGGAGAGACGAGGGCACCTTTTAGAAATTACTAGCATGGACTGGGTGAGGCCATAGGCGTAGGAGAGAAGTCCAGACCGGAGAGGAGGCAGAGCCCGGCCTTCAGTAGGATCAGATTTCATCTTAAGGACGCTCAAGATCCTTCTTGGCCAGCCAGAGATAATATGTGAATTATCTAAAAGCAAAACTCAATACCAAGGGATATATCTCACTGCTATGGAGGTGATACGACTCACAGTGAGTGACCCAATATGGCCAGGTAGAAATGCCCTGGTGGGTTTCTGAGACTTCTGGTGGTTTTGGACTGATGACTGA